TAGATAACTCCCTGTGCAGGGAGGAGGGGGGGGGGGGGGGGGGGGGATAGAGCACATGGAAGATAAGTCTCAGGGCAAGGGAACAGTAGAGATCAGGGTAAATTAACTCCCTAAGCAGGGGAAAAAGAGGACAGGGAAGATAAGTTCCAGGGCAAGGGTCCATCACTCTCTTGGCAAGGAGGTTAATAAAGGTAAGGGAACATAATTCTGTAGGCAAGGGGACAATACAGATCAGGGTAGATGACTCTAGGTAGAGGAGTGGAGACAAAAGAGATCAAGAACATAACTCTGTGGTCAAGGGGCATTCAAGATCAAGGTAGATCACTCTCTAGATAGGGGAGATCAAGTACATAATCCCTCGGCAGGGGACAATACAGAACTCTCTCGGCAGGGGACAATACAGATCAGGGTAGATCACTCTAGGCAGGGAACACTAGAGATCAAATTATTTGTACTGTGTTACTTGTTACTGTTCACACCTGTCATCCTCTAGACACAATAAATCTCACATGGTGGACTAAATATATAAGGAGCTATCCCAGTCCTCAGACTGTTTACTGGTAGTGGTGGCTCCCACAGAGTGGATGATCCCTAATTGAAACCTAGATGAGGTTGTTAGCATGTCCTAATGTTTCTGTAGGTCATTAATCAGAGGCGGCATGGAATTAGCTGGAGCAGACCTATAAAACTTCCAATGGATTTGTGAAATATTTATAAGGCTGTAGCTGTACAAGTAACACTATTGATTTGCTAGTTATAAGCGGTGGCAAAGCACTGCCGATCAGTGCCGTCACTGATGAGTGGCATTGCGGAGCAATAGAGCGGGGTAAATGCCATGTTATTTATACGTCTGTGGCAAACATGGCATCCTCAGACGTCAACCATATTTATACAACCAAGGTGCAGCCAAGTGCTCTTTTAATAAAAGTGATGAGGGCAGGGGATATTACTGTATTTAATTATCAATTTGACACTTGGATTACTGTACAAAGAAGTAAAAAGTTGACAACATAAAAATCTTATTTCTAATTCTTAATCATCTATCATATAACATAATAGAATTAAGAGAAAATGAAATCTATTTTTTATTGCAAGGTAATAATTGCAGAAATACCAGTCTATCTGGCTTTTACACCTGTGAAATTGACATCCACATGCATAATTAACATGTTCTCAGGAGAGGAGAGAAAACGACACGAAAGGCCACAGCCGATGAACTGGTATCATGGGACACACACATGTCTAGCAGCATGTTGGTAGACATTAACCACTTCTGTGTCAATAATTGATGTTGGAATACTGTAAGAGTCATGTTTTGGTTTCGCTGCCAGCCTGCATCTTTGAGATAGTACAGGGCTTCAGCCATTAGCAGTTTATTTAGGCGTGATAACGGCAGCATATTGATTTGTGTCCGCTTTACGATGTGACATCCTGGTCATCTTGCTGCGGATATTGGTATATAGGATGTCCTGTGTGTTTGACTGTTTATGGTCGTCGAGGGACAAAGGGTAAACTACCTGTGGTCGTTTCTTCTGTGAACAAATCAGGATGATCACGCATAAATCTAATAACGTCAGGGCTGATTGGCAATTGTAGAAACTGCAGATCATGATATTACAGGTATTTATTTGTTTGATTGTGCAATGTTCCTCGTAGCTTTGTGTACTTAGAACTTCAGTGGCAGCAGACGGATGTTTAAATTCAACAATAATCATGACAATCATTATTGAAACTGATGGGAAAGTAGGTAAAGTGGGGTTTGGGCTCTTTGACTTGGGGAGATAATCTATACATTGTGAGGTGGGTGAGTGATGATGATCGAGTCTGGGAGTAACAGGTTTATTGTGGGTTAGGGCAAGGTTAGCTGGGGGGGGACTAGTGGTGTTATGAGGATCGTGGGATAGGGAGATGTTGAAAGTGGGGTTATAATGTAAGTGGGACTAGTAAGGACTGGGCTGGAGTGGTAAGAGGTAGTGTAGAAGGCTGTTTGTGAGTGTAACAGTAGCGATCAATAATCTTGTGTATACCTGTTTACACCTGTATTCACACCTGTGTAGAGTGTAACAGTAGCGATCAATGATCTTGTGTATACCTGTTTACACCTGTATTCACACCTGTGTAGCATACTACATATTAATGGTTTTTGTTTTAGCAATTTTATTTGGATGAGATAAAATTTGAGTCCTAAATATTCAAAAAATATTTCCTTAATATAATTATATATGCTTGTTTAGCCAGTAACTGTCTGGAATTTTCCAAGGTATAGGAATTTGTATACCGATACATTTAAAACAATGAAAGTGTTCCTTTGGTGTAGCTTATGTAGCACAAAGGAGCATGTGATTGTGCAGTGTAAAAGTCAGCTTTACATGGCCCCTACCCTGCACAGCAGTATTTCTACAAAAGGAGGGAACAGAACTCAGTTAGGGATGATAAGACGGATAATTAAACCTCGAGTTCTGGCAATTAGGAACAGACATTTCTGTTTAGTCTGATTGGTAGGGTGTGGGATCTTCATTTAATCAACTTTTTCTCATGCATAATTATCAATTTGAATTTAAAGTTGATGAAAAAATTATTTGTATTTCGCATTACCAAACAGTTAACATATGTATGCAAATCAACTTTTGAGATGACACTCGCTGTTAAATTTTAACGTTGTTAAAAGCAGCATAACCAGCCTTTGTACTGAGTCATAAACCCTCACAGGGTAGACATATCTGTGTTAAATTAACAACACATTTGTCTGCATTACTGGAGCCCATTCGTATGCCGCTTTATCTACAGGTTACTTTCACTTTGAATCCAAAAAACGTATTGCTAGATCTACTTTCACTTTCGTCCCAATAAAAAAACACAGAAAATTGTCTTGTTGCCGGAGATTAAAGTCCCATTTCAGAGCAATCTGGATTCTATTGACCTTTACTGGTCTGGTCGGCAAGGGTCACTTATTGTTACCGAGTTTTTGTCCAAAAGCCTGAATTGAGCTGCCTGCCTGTGTAATGCAGTAAGTGTACGGGTTGTTATCTGTGGGAGGGGGTACTGCTGTGACCCGTAACACACACCAGGCCTGCTCAGCCCATATGGAATCCATTAGGTACAGCTTACAACAAAACACTCTTACAGCAGTTTTAATTCATATGTCTCAACCACAGGGGAGCCTCACAGTCAAAACAGCAAAAACAGACACTTCAGGAGGATTCTGCAAATCATAAAGCCGTTGTATTCTCATCATTTTTTTTTTTAAATATATTCCATAAAATCGCAGAATATAATTTTTTCTAAACATTTTTGTTCAAAATATGAAAATTTGTTCCCAAAAAATTAAAAAGAAACTGTAGCACAATGTTTTTGTGGCATATTTCCTGCTTTTGTATTGTACAGTTATAGTATAAATAATTTAGTGGGGGTTTCAACATCTAGAAATCATTCACTTCCATTATTTTTGACAAGACAATGCATTTGTTGCCTGGGAAACCCTACCAGCTCCCTATAACAGCCCTGCCAGGATAGGGGCTCTCCTACGGTGATGTGTTTTCATCTGCATCCCCTGGAATGATGCTGCGGTGCCTGTACAGCCCTGTGGTGGTGTAAGATGCTTAGCTAACCACATGGTCTGTTACCAAAAAAAACCCATATATTCCGCTCTTAAGCCAGCGATATTACTACGGCTTGGTGCACCGCTCATTGAACTTACTGAAGTTGAAAATTTGAGCAATTTAGATTGTAATGGAAGCCGCTTACCGGTTGATAGGACGGAGCAGGATGTCAGAGAGGCCACATAGTTTCACTTAATAACAGGGAGTTGTCGGTCCATTGACGCTGGATTGGTATAATGTGAGATATGTATTGATGTGTGGTATACACAGATCCTCACACCAATTAATACTTGGCTCGGCAGTTCTCACCATTCATTAGCAGAAGGCCTTGGGCATTAAAAAACCTGGTGGATGTGAAAAACAATCGGGATCTAAACGCGAGATTCTTTGGATGATGTAAGGATTCGTAGATGTGGTAATTGTTTTTGTTTATGGGTAGTACTAACATCGTTTGTTGGCTGTAAGTATATGTAAACCAGCATAACAAAGGGTCATCTTAAAGCATGTGTAGTATTACTCTGTCTGCTGTTCTGGATGAGTGGGAACTGTTCCTAGCAGGGCTGATGGAGGCCTGTTGTAACACACAGCTCCTTTTGTATGTGTAATGGGGTAGAAATTGATGGAGTGTGTTTGCACCTTTGATTTCAGAGATTGTACAGGCCTGTGAGAAGCCTGTGATAGCATGGATTGCACCGATCTCTGTGAGGCCTGTGATCCTACCAAGACCGAGATTGAATGTAGAGACCGATGGACCCTCTTAGATACTACACTTTTATTTTGTGTTCTGTGTAGGCAAATTGTTGATTTGGTGGATTGCTGCATCTCTTATCTTTCACACTTCACGTCCCCAGACCGAGGTTTTACACAGCAGGATCTGATAACCTTACACCATCAACAAAACACAATATCTCACTTCAAATTTTATTAGAAAATATTTACCCTAAACATAAAATGTTTTCACACATATTAGACAATTTTCTATGTACCTTTCTTGGTGATGGTGTTGGAATCATAAAGATGGCAATGTTTGACGCCTACCTTCCTTGACGCTATTACACATTACTTCTGACAGGTTGGCCTGGCAAGGTTCACTAGGGAGTGATTGGTTTTGATCTCAAACAGTTGATGTCACTATGTTGTGTGGTGTATGGAGGTAAACAACCTCCTCCTAATGCATATAGCTATGTCTCACCTCATATCAATCTGCTTACAAACAAGAAGTATTTGCCAGGACTGTAATTAAAATAATGGAATTATTCTTGGCAGTCAAGATGCATTGTTCCTTCTGAATTTGTAAGTGTTCTTCATTCATGAAGTACACAGTGCAATAAAGAAAATAGAATTAATGAAATAAGTATTTTTACTCTGTATTTATGGTTCGTGTCCTTCTGTACTTGTCAGGTTTGGGCCAGGGCTCTAAGCCACCTCCCTTGACAATGATCAGCCCCGCAGGAGCTAAGTTGTCCAGGAACACTGCCACTGTGCCACCACTGAACCAAGTATCGCCTAGCAACGGTGTCACTTCCATCGGGGCCAACGCAGCCCTGAACGCCACCAGGACGTCCAGTTTTGCTGCAGCTCTCCGTAAACTTGCTCATCAGGCAAAAGATCCAGGTAAATTCTGACACCTGTACATACAGCATCCGTAATTACAGGTAAACCAACATGGAAGGGGATAAATTGAGAAAAGAGGAGTAAAGAACAGGGCCTGTATTCATGAAACCGTTCTCATGCTCAAGCATGGATTCTGTGCTCAAACCAATTTTCTTGTAACTCACTTAAAACATTTAAAGGAACAAAAAGTCAAATGTAAACATTGAAAACAGTATTCGCCTTTAAGTCTCTTCAAAGTTTTTCCAAATCACTGACAAAATAAGATTTTATTATTAAGTTATAACCGGAGCAAGAAATCAGGCTTGAGCACAAAATCTGTGCTTGAGCATGAGAACGGCTTCATGAATACAGACCTAGGAGTTTGGAATGTAAATCTGTCAAAATTGACAAGGTCATTATCATCATTTAAAGAATCCATTGTATTTCTATATTCATTCACAAACCAATGTCACTGCATTTGGACATGAATTCAACAAATCAACTGGTATTATACCAGTTCAATATGACATATCTATTCTGCCTTTCTTGATTGGTTTAGAAATGGGAATATTTCCAGGAAAATTGGTTCCTGACCAATCACACTTTGTTTAACACAAGGCAGTCAAGTCCAAGTCTTTGCCATTACCTGAATGGAATCTGCCGTCACTTGTCGTCAGGATTATGGAGCAGAGAGTTTGTTTGATGGATGCGATCGTTACACACAAAAACATTTTATTTAAATACATGTCTGGACTGTAAAATAACACAGACAATGAGACTGGCACAATGGAACTTTCCGTAGAACAACCAAATGTTTATGGCCACAGGCCATCAGGCCGACCTTACATTCGAACGCTGTAGTTAAAACCTCTCAATCCTGTAGCTTTATTCTAGTGTTTAGGAGGATAGAGGGACTATATATTTTGAGTTTCAATGATTTGGTTTTCTGTTGAGGACAGAAGTAGAAAATCGTATCATGTAGCTCTGTAGGACCATAACTTGTTAGATACAGTTGTTGACAGTAGTAGGAATGATATAATTTACCATAAGTACAGATCATGAAAATAGCAATACACTGAATATGATCCATATCTCATCAGAAATATGATCTTAATTAACACTTGTCAGTACATCCTGCTACAAATAAGTGTTTAACTTTAAGTACAATCTTCAGTAAGTAATTAACAGAATTAACTTATTTCAAGAAAATTGCATATTTAGCGAAAGTAGCCACCCCCCAAAACCTAAACATTGATCAAGGTTCCATATAAACAATAGAAATGGAAAGGATTAAAAAAAAACTGAAATATATCAATGTTTTGTATGGTGTTATCATCAAAACTGATCTGAATCCTTCCAACAATGAACTATAAAAAGCCCTGTGATGTGAAGATAGAAGATTGAGAGGAGACAGAAGCCTGGGAGGATAAGTGGGAGGAGGCCTAATACACATGTTAGGGATGAGTGGTGTATGTCTGTATTACATTGTTTATGTGCTGTGTGTTCTACAGTCTCTACTGATACAGAACAACCATCAAACACCACTGTTATAAGGTAGACTGGCTATCTGTCTACCATCAACCACTTATCTCAAACCTCGGGGTGGATTTTGTCAAATTTCATGGAAATCTCATTGATATTGACAAGTAGGCCTGTGTATATACATTGCTGCTTTTCAAGCACACAAGATAAAAGTTATGACCTATATGTGATTGGTTAGGTCTGTTTAAGTCTCCAAGCAAGGGAAAAGTGAGAGCCTCAGAGCTGTGGGATTTAGACAAGGTTTAGTTAGGGATTGTCTTATAGCTTGTGGAATTAGTCCTGCTTTAGCCAGTGAAAACCTCAGAAATGAGAAATTACGCTTGGTTTAGGTAGTGAGAGCCTAAGAGCGAATTAGTCCTACTTTAGGGGGTGAGAGTCTTACAGCTGGGGGATTAGTCCTGCTTTAGGTAGTGAGAGCCTTACAGCTGGGGGGATTAGTCCTGCTTTAGGTAGTAAGAGCCTTACAGCTGGGGGAATTAGTCCTGCTTTAGGTAGTAAGAGCCTTACAGCTGGGGGAATTAGTCCTGCTTTAGGTAGTAAGAGCCGAAGATTTTGGGAATTAGTCCTGCTTTAGGTAGTGAGAGCCTAAGATTTTGGGAATTAGTCCTGCTTTAGGGAGGGCTTGGTTGAGATAGTACCATAAGAGTCTCAGCTATGGAATTTAGGCCTGATTTATAAATTAGGTAGTGGATACCGGGGTAGTTGTTAGTAGCTTACAGATGTCTATATACCTTTTAGACAAGTGTATGATTCCGAAGAATAAACAGGGATCTGTGATACTATCTATTTCACCAGTGTTTATAAACTAAAGGAGTAAATATGCATGCATGGGACCAGTGTGTATGATATTGTCAATATGGTAAATTCATGTTACAAAATGCAGGAAGGTCACAAGCTTTGAGAAATAAGAAACTTTAGACACTGATTATGAGGTTTCTGTCCTGTTACAGGCTGTTAGCTGTATCTGTGTTATAGGGAAACTGCAAACTATCATTTCTTCTACATTCAGGCTTTAGTAAATAACTATGTCTATTTTGGTTACAGAGGAAGGAAATAGCAGTAAACATCCCCCCACCCCAGGGAGCTCCAGCACTAGCCCCCGGGCAGTCACACCGAAGCGAGGTCCCCCACCCTTGGTCTACAGTAGTCACTCCTCCTCGCTTACCTCACCGCCTGTTGTTACCATAGCGCCCACACAGTCACACCCCACCCTCGTCAGCAGTGAGGCAAAACAGGTATGGTACACAGTTTCAAGATCATGAATGAAATATCCAATTTCTACAGTTATTATGTCATTCTAATCAGATTGTAAACACAAAACATAAATAAATCTCATAAAAAAGTCTTGATTTACAATGAATCAGATATGCTATTAATGTGTGTCATTGTATGGTATAAACATAGCAGAACAAAGTTCAGATCGACTAGTATGTCACCACTATGGGACATAGAGACCAGTATGAAATATGACATTGTAGGATAATGTTCCTTGTAACATGGCAACTTGGTGCAGTAGATATAAAACAGTTTTAGGTTATATCTCTTTATCACATGAAAAAGTTTAACTTGTTCTCCATGCAAAGTATTTGAATCCCGATCATGTACCGAAGAGTTGTCTGTCAAGTGACGAGGCTTGAATGAAAGGATAAAAAAAACAAAAGTCTGTCCTTAAAAACAACTATTGGGTGTCTTTGATTGATTTAGAGTCTGGAGCGAGCACATTCGGTACAGAGCACCGCCTCATCTGCGTACGACCCACTCAGCATCAAACAAGATCGTGATAGGCCTCAGTCTACCCACTCCAATCGTGATGATGACCGGAGTTCATTAAAGGACGCCACCCAGTCACGAAGGTGAGTTTGATGTGGTATATGATGAATAATGTAACAGTAAGATTAAGTTTAGATTTACTAGTACCCTACAAAGTACTTTTATCTATTACATAATCTTTAACTTATCATTTAAAAGTGAAGTACTTTTATCCAATATATCTTGACCTCACTAAGTATATAACACTTTCCTATTTCAGACCACATTCTGGTCACAGCTCAACATCTCCGGCAGCTAGCAGAGAGGAACTTAGTAGTCGTGGTTTCCAGCCATACCGCCCGGGTGAAGATCTGCGGCATCAGTTGCCACCTACGATGTTTGGCCTTGACCCATCGGCCTACCCCTACCCCACGGCCTTCATGCCCTCTCACTTCCCACACCCTGCCTTCAGGTAAGGGGAAACCATCCTTGGTTTCGGTTGCAAATTATTGTTTTTTAATATGCCTATGTCATTAAAAACTGGATTAATATTTTTAAGATATGAACATTTTCCCTCCATTATCAATAGAAATAGATTCACCTATGGATTGTCCCTTTGTTTCAAGACCATAGCCATAAGGCTTATAAAATTGTCTTAACTGAATTTGACAAGATAATCGTCCTCGATTAGTACCATTTGAATGCCATTACCAGGATAGTTGAATACAGTATTTGCATTGAAGGTATCTTAAGTGGATGATGTCATATTGTTGATCTGAAATAAGATGAAAGAAATTACAATTATCCAGAACTACTTGTTAATCACTTATAACAGTATGAACCAACAATCTATTTCATGATATATGAATAAATGGAACAAAGATACTGGAATAATAGTTACAAGTATCACATATTTGAGAACATGTTTCTCACTTGGCTGTCTCCCTTTGTTTACAGGTTTGATGACCCTGTGTTACTGGAGAGGTACCGGATGATGCAGCCCCCGTACCTCCAGTTCCCCCACCCTGGGATGATCCCTCCCCCAGGGGTCCACCCATTCCTCGCTGCTGGCAGCAGGTACCCCTCCGAGCTCCTTCATCAGCAGTTCGCATTTGGGTCCCAGTCGTCACGTCTTGGCGAACACATATCACCAGCCTTGTCTGAAAGGTAAAGTGTCGGTCAGTTATAGCAGGTTTTTCAAATCATGATGGCATTCTCATTTTCATCATTTCATTTACATTTTCTGTTGAAGATTCAAATTTTAAAATTGAGGATGAGGTATTTAAAATGCATCATATCCAGTATTTGTAATATAGTTCTTTTCAAATTCAGGATAAAAAATAATTAAGGGACATGGCTAAGCTGATACGTTTGCATATAATCAGTATTCTTTAACATTGTATGATCTTGTGTTGGTGTCATATTTTGCATTATAAGACCATCAATTTCTTTTTATGCAGACAACGATTAGAAGAAGAAAGGTTACGAGAGATGGAACGAGAGAAAGAAAGGGAGCGGGAACGAGAGCGTGAGCGGGAGAAGGAGCGCGAGGCAGTGTTACAGAGAGAGAGAGAACGAGCACGTGAACGTGAGAAGGAATATGACAAAGAAAAGGCACGAGACCTGTACTACACTCATCAGGCAGAGCTCCGACTCGATCCCCGGAGCCAGGAGAGCCGGGGGCGTGGGGACGGTCCACATGGCATGGCAAATCAGTCCCGCCTGGCTAAGGCCGAGGACAGCTCAGGTATGACATAGATTTCATTTCTAAGGTATCAAGATTTTATGTAAAATTACCTCGTGTCTGTGCATCCTGTGGTATCTTTTGCCCGTGTGTATTGACACTATGGTATATTTTCCACTTGGGTGTTGAAACTGGTAATATTTAGCCTATGTATGTTGATGCCATGGTATATCATTACCTTGGCTTGTGTATTAACCTGTTTAATGTATATTTGTTGTAATCTTGTATAAGGATACAGCAATCATGACATTCATAAAATTTAGGAATGAATTAAAATGAGGGAAAAAAATTAATAAAATTAATTAGACCACAATGACAAAGCAAAAGAAATCTCAAACAAGACATGCAAGTTAGTTAATTTTTACCAGATATACCAGTTGGTGAATAAAAAAATATATACATGATAGTAAACTAAAACAAACTGTACCTGTAAGTAGAATTCACACAAGATGTACCTGTAAGTAGAATTCACACAAGATGTACCTATAAGTAGAATTCACACAAGATTTACAAGCAAGTAGTGAACTGACGATGTACAATTAAGTGAACTGAAGATGTACAATTTAGTGAACTGACAATGTACAATTTAGTGAACTGACAATGTACAATTTAGTGAACTGATAATGTACAATTTAGTGAACTGAAGATGTACAATTTAGTGAACTGACGATGTACAATTTAGTGAACTGATAATGTACAATTTAGTGGACTGATGATGTACACTTTAGTGAACTGATGATGTACAATTAAGTGAACTGAAAATGTACAATTTAGTGAACTGATAATTTACAATTTAGTGAACTGACGATGGACAATTTATTGAACTGACGATATACAATTTAGGTAACTGAAGATGTACAATTTAGTGAACCGATAATGTACAATTTAGTGAACTGATGATGTACAATTAAGTGAACTGAAAATGTACAATTTAGTGAACTGAAGATGTACAATTTAGTGAACTGACAATGTACAATTTAGTGGACTGATGATGTACACTTTAGTGGACTGATGATGTACAATTTAGTGAACTGACGATGTACAATTTAGTGAACTGATGATGTACAATTTAGTGAACTGACAATGTACAATTTAGTGGACTGACGATGTACAATTTAGTGAACTGATGATGTACAATTTAGTGAACTGACGATGTACAATTTATTGAACTGACGATATACAATTTAGTTAACTGAAGATGTACAATTTAGTGAACTGACGATGTACAATTTATTGAACTGACGATGTACAATTTAGTGAACTGACGAGAACAATTTAGTGAACTGACGATGTACAATTTAGTGAACTGACGAGAACAATTTAGTGAACTGACGGTGTACAATTTAGTGAACTGATGATGTACATTTTAGTGAACTGACGATATACAATTTAGTGAACTGAAGATGTACAATTTAGTGAACTTAAGATGTACAATTTAGTTAACTGACGATATACAATTAAGTGAACTGACAATGTACAATTTAGTGAACTGAAGATGAACAATTTAGTGAACTGATGATATAAAATTTAGTGAACTGACGATGTACAATTTAGTGAACTGACAATGTACAATTTAGTGAACTGACGATGTACAATTTAGTGAACTGAATATGTACAATTTAGTGAACTAAAGATGTACAATTTAGTGAACTGAAGATGTACAATTTAGTGAACTGATGATGTACAATTAAGTGAACTCAAGCCAATTTGATTGTAGGGTCTAAGTACAGTTCTACAATGCATGGGAGTCAGCGAGATCTGTATGGCGACAGAACAGAAAAGGTTCACCCCTACAATGATCACCCACCGCGGATGGAGGCAGACAGGGACAAATATGGCCGCGAGTCAAATTATGACGACCGCAGGAAGTCAGACATTCATCCTCATTCCAGTGAACAATCTTTGCTCAAGGTAAGTGTGCTGTCTGTAGACTTTACACGGTCAACCCAGAAAGTCTTCTTGAGAGACCTAAATTGCAATTGCGTATCCCGGTAAAAACGGTTCAGGTGGCGCAGAAATATTCTGAGATAATTTACACAGCAGAGCAGAGCAGAGCTCTTTTAAGAAAATTTAATATGTTTCTCTTTGTCATTGATATGGAACTGTTAAGTCAAAACATTACATGAGAAGATGGAGAAAAACGTTAACTGTGATCTGTATATTCTGACAATAATAACATCATGTAATGATAAAAGGATATTATTTGTATCTTATTCTTCATTTTCAGAACCTAGACAAACATGAGTATGAGAAGAGGGCATACTCGTTAGCATTTGCAGACAAACAGAACATGGTGGACAAAGAGAGACACCCCTCGTCTCATCCGCCTCCTTCCTCACAGTACTCATCACTTCACCATGCTGATCTCGCCCATAAAACATCCAAAGACTTCTTCCGACCGTTTGACACGGCTAATATTCTTACCAACGGCTTCAATGGTTCTCATGATTATGATAAATACTCTGTTCATTACAGCAAGGCTAGCGACAGGACAAGCAAGTCTCCGGCCGCCATGAGTCGCTCTAGTCTAGAGGCCAGTCAGGAGCGACGGGCCATTCTTGAGGAGTCTGTCTTGCATAATAAAGGTCCACGAGACAGCTACCTGTCTCACAGACGGATGTCTGAGGAGACAATGTCGTCGGGGCGTAAGTCTGGAGAGGAATCTTTACTGCTGAGGTCGACTGAAGAACTACAACGGAGATTCTCAGGTGTTGATCGGCGGAATCGGAGGACACCAGAGGAAGTGTCGTCAGGTGCCAGTCAAAACGAATACAAACACTTTCTCAACAATAATATCCTACTGAACATGGAGAAAAATAATCAGGATTCTAAATCATTACAGAAAGAGATTATGTCTGATTCATCAAATTGTCAAGGAAATTCCAATTTGGATCACAAAAGTTCGACAGCTTTGCCGTCAACCTTTCATTACCCATACGTGAAACATATACACTCAGTAGTCAGCAGATTGGACACGGAGGAACGTAAACTCAGGGAGAAACGTCAACAAAGTGACTACGATAGTGATGACACTGATGTCGAATCAGATGACGAGGAAATCAAGCGGCAACGACTTTTATTTATTCGCAGCGGACCTCCTCTACCACTGGATACCTCTAAACCCAAGATAAAGTTTTTAAAACAATTAGGCCTTACCTCGCAACGAATCAAGAGGGGTGAGTATCACTCATTATATAGGGAGCTATTAGTCATTCTATGTTGCATAGAATTCTGCTAGTAATAAACCGAAACCATTTGAAAATAATTTGAAGAAATGCATTTTAGCTATGGTAGCATTTATACACTAGACTGATTTAGAATTATTGTCACTGAAGCGAATAAAGTATGTCGCTGAATCTTACTGTTAATTAGTTAAACCTGTTGAATATTTAGTTTATGAAAATCTCATTACATACCATATTATGCTTAAAGAATAACTCACTACACTCAATGCCTTGAAACCTGCCAAACTAAATTTTGAATGACTATTTTCAGATTTAGATCATCAGAAGATGCGTAAGCGGAGGCGGTCTCTCCGTGAGCGCAGTGTCAGTCCAGTACAGATGGTGGGCGGGGAATCTGCCGAGGAGGCCGCCCCCAGTCTCTCCCACTCTAAGGATCTCAACTCCGATCTCAATTCGGACGCCCTGTGTCAAGAACGTGACTACCCAGAGAAGTGTTCCTTCCTCAGCTCCATGAAACTCAGCACTATAAGTCCAGACAAGAAAAAGGGTAAGGGAAGTTACTCTTAGAAATCAACAATGGATCACTCACAGCCTTTATGGCATCATACAAGAATTGTTATGACCCTTTGTTGGAGATGAGAGTGCCCTACAATAATCAGTGTTCCACACTTTCCTTTCTGGAGATTATCTCAGAATCCAAAAGTCTCATCTTTTTTAAAATTTTGACATGTTGATACACTATGATGTGTAGATGTGTGATAGGGCTTTAAAAAGTTTCTATGGTCAAGGTCATGGTTACTAAAAAATAGACCATGGAGGTACAGTCCTTATCTTGGAATCCAATGGATTAGACTTTTGAAAATGTGAAAAAGTGTTTTAAAAGGTCTAAGGTGAAGGTCACTATTACTTAAAAATGAAAACAGAGGGGGTTACAACCAGGCATATGGCAGGGCCCGTGCTGACCTGTCCGTGATCTAGTGCATATGGCAGGGCCCATGCTGACCTGTCCGTGATCTAGTTCTTACTCCTAGTTCCTGAAAAGCAATAATTTCTACGTATTCTAGATACTGCTAGGAATTGGCAGCTTTTGTTTATTGTGTTACAAAATGGCCAGATGGTCGGAGTGGTTGGACCAGAGGTATTTGTTGATGAAATAGGGGCGGGCTTGATGATCTGGTGTTGCTTGCTGAAGATCCTTAATTAGCAATGGCATTCAATTCAAGGCCTGTGTTATCATTTTTGACAAACTAGTTTGGCTGCATAAACAAGCAGACCTCATATCTTCTTTGATAACACTATCATCAGTCAGCATTTAACCATTGTATACGGGTAAAACCAGTTCATTAACTCATTCACCCCTGAAATTTTATAATGGACTATTCTAACCTTGGTATTGGAAGAGTGCAAATGCGTCTTCAGAGGTGAATGAGTTAAGGGGTACAAATGTTTGCCTTTCCTATTGGTCCTTCCCTATGAGATCTGGGTGAGACATTTCTCTGATGTTACAAGTCCTACAGTCATCAAAACCTACATGCCAATATTTCTCATTGTTTGACTTTGCATTTAGCTCTATTTCTCTAATACTAGAAGAACTGTTTAAACCAGTCAGATTTGTTGCTATTACCATGTAGATATTTTATAAATGATAAATAATGATAATATACAACACTTGATATAGCGCCCTATCTAGCTAACATAAGCCACTCTAAAGCACTTTACAGTACATAGATACACAATTAATACAATTAGCATATACATTTATCAATAAAAAAATTAAGGAATTCGCAGGAGCTGACTTATCAGGCGCTAACTACAAGTCCTATACCATCATTCGTTTTAAAATTTATATGATATTATATAATATAATATGAATATATGATATTTGAATTATATACTTTGCTATGGAGCCATGTACTGTCGGTTATTCCTACCTTGAAGAAATGCATATTACTTCATCAAAGCAGCTACATAATCTGAGATGGCATATTTGTGGAAGCCTGATCATGGACCCAAAAGTACTGTTAGGATTCATAGAAATAGCATTGTACCTAAAATTCGTGGCATTAAGCCACTATGTCTTTGTTATATACATATTAGATATCTAGCTAACCTCAATATAAGAGAAGAAATAACGATATATGCGTAAATAACAGCTTCATCGTATTTTGTAGCTATACATATATGATGGTACACATGCATACCTACACCGATTCTATACCTCAAAATTATTGTTCCAGAATAGTAAATCTGTCGGATTGTATGTATGATGTCACACTTTTAAATGATGGTTCATTGAAAATTAAAATGGTTACCTTCTTTGTTGATATAAAATTTGAATTCTAAACAGAAACTTGTATGCTTGCACCCTGTAGAGGCCCCTCCTATTTATAATTATAAACCGAGACAAACGTTATCAGTAAAATCATGAGTCATGGTGTGTTTTGTGTAATTTGAATTAATTTAACTATTCTGGAATTCTTTATTACCACATTACACAAGTGTAATTAGCGTTGAAATATGTACATTAGAGATACCTAGCCCACACAATAATATATTACATCATAAAGTAACTGTAAGTTGAACATACCCTCACATATACTTGCAAACCAACCATTTCTTTAATCTTCAAACCACAAAACCAGTATTTAAGATAGAAAGCTAATACTGCTTTTATCTTATATATTTTAAGCTTTACAACTAGGTTTGATATAGTAATCAGTTTGTCATTTCTGATTCCGATTATTGATTACAAATTCCATAATCGATTTGATGGGTTTAATTCATGACTCAAGTGTCAGATATATACTATATATAACATGCATCGAAATATTTTTTTTATTTTTTATTTTTATGATATATTTGATGGTTATGTTGAAAAAAAATTAAAGTAGTATTTTGTGTATATCATTAGGAGCATTAATGTCAAATATTGATCAGTGTCTTAATTACGAGTCATGCGGAGTGTAGAAAGGAAATCTTTTGTAAAAAAAATCTCATGTTATTTTTCCTTCATAGTCAGTTTCTTCATATTTATTTTTTCTTGGTAAATTTATGTAAGACAATTCTATAAAATTCTAAAACTATTAGGATTATTTGAGTTTCTGTTATTCTTGCAGAAATCAACCACATCCAGCAAGTATGTGAGATAGACAGGTTACGGCGACTGACAAACTCAGGTAGAGCAGTTACAAGTTGTCAGCTTTTTTGTAGCAGGAATGCTTTTATCTTTCCTGAAAGTTAGCAAAAAGTTTCATAAACCAATGTTTCTATTTAGTATTTAACTATTTATTTCACTTGACTATTTTATTAAACAGCTTTTGTGACATTGTGACAGTAATAACGCTAGCGCTGTATTCAATGGAAACAATTGACCCTTAATTTATAAAATGGCAGTGTAAGATTGTTTGACAAACCTGGAAATGTGCATGTCAACCTGATTGATGTCATAATATGAAACATCAGAAATATTGTGACAAGATTCTTGTTGACATCATAATTTGGGATTTTCAAACCAATGTTTGAGTCCTACAATTGAAGTGAAACAGTCTTTTTCATACTTGCCAACTTTTTAAAATTTCCAGGGGGAGATTCCACATGCTCAAAGTTAAAAACATAATAACACGTGTGCATATATCCCATAGGGCAAAAATAACACCATAAAATGGTATCCTTTGTGTTGTTCTTTCAGATGAAATCATCTTAGAATAAATTAATAGTTTAGCATATTCTCTGGTTAAAATTGTTCAATAATAATAAAGTCCGAAATCAGGAGTGTCCCTCTAAAATATGGAGAGTTGGCAAGTATGCTATTCCAATCATTTACTTTAATAGTACTCTTAGTTCTATGTGTTACCTTGTGTACTTACAGGTTTGAAGAGTTAGTGCTATGTGTTACCTTGTGTACTTATAGGTTTGTAGAGTTAGTTCTGTGTGTTACCTTGTGTACTTAAAGGTTTGAAGAGTTAGTTCTGTGTTACCTTGTGTACTTATAGGTTTGAAGAGTTAGTTCTATATGATACCTTGTGTACTTATAGGTTTGAAGAGTTAGTTCTATGTGTTACCTTGTGTACTTATAGGTTTGAAGAGTTAGTTCTATATGTTACCTTGTGTACTTACAGGTTTGAAAAGAAAGTCCACTGAAAACTCGGGAGAACGTATCATTGGGTCAAAGATGTTACTCCTGGACAAGGAGGGAGGCAAAGCCAAGTCTCGTCACAGTCTCATGCCAGGCAAAACATTCAACACGGCAACGGATAAGACAGCCATTTTGTTCCCAAACAAGAACAAAAAGAAGATGCTCAGTCGAGAATTTGCTCAGGAATTCCACGAATCTGTTCTTCAGACAACACGTCAGAAGGAACTTAATAGTAGACTAGGTAAAATTCCTTGGATCTGTCATTCAGTTTAAAATGCCTTTAACACTGGGAGTAAAGACTTTGTAACAATGATAATGTAATATGTGAAACCACTTTTCAGAGTTTACCAAAAAGTGCTGCTAAAAGAAGTTTAATATGATATAATGCAATTAAAAGAGTAATTTTCCATTTTTTAATCACAACTGTATGATCTTTTTTCTGTCATATTTGGTTTTGAATGTATATAAAAACATTAAGTGGAAAAGAATTACGTTTATGCCAGCCTACTGGATATTATCTGTTATCATCTGATCATGGGAGACATATAATTCTCTGTGTTAGATATAATGACATGTTAGATATAATGACCTTATCATTTTTTGTAGCTATGGCACCGAGTCGACCGGTAGATATGAAGATGTTCCCTGGTAAAGGGGAGGTAACCAGTATGTCTCGACTGGTCAGTAACTCAGGCAGCAGCAGCAGCAAGGCTGGGACGTCAGCCGTAGGGTCAGCTGGATGTCGGACTGACCACGATACAAATGGAGGAGTACCACGGTGGCCCGGTATTGACAGTCTGCTTGAGGCTTACCAGAACCACTCAGACGGTGAGTTAGCTCAGGGTCACATGGTGTACTGGTGCAGGGGAGATCAATCTAATTGGGATTAGTTCGACCTTTCAAATATGTATCATACCAGATAGATTTCACACAACACCCCCACATTTAGTAGAGTCAATATTGACATTTTGAAAATTTCTTCGGTTCACTTCCTTCTATAAAATTCACCATTCTGTCCTTAATATCTTTTTTATCTTCGCTATAATAAACTACCACGTATTACTGCTTAGGTTAGCTCCTTATTTAATAAACACAGCCATTCCGTTTAAAACTGTGTAGCAAACGGGAAGAAGTCATCCAGTACCTTGAATGTGATGATACCTAGAACCATAGAATGGTTGGTCTTCTAGATGATGCACATCGCTAAAAAAAATCGAACAAATCAGCCGTTTGTAAAATTTTATAGTGAATATCTTCTTTTCCCTTTTTCTGCCAATAATATTTTTTTTCTGGTTGGATATTATATCAACAACAACATGCTAGCACTGAATCTCCAATAGAGTGATTCTACCTGATTTTTTGTGTAAATACATCACAACAGTCAAGGAATTGATTGGCTTTGTTCGAAATTATTGCATCTCTTACTATTCCTATCACACTCTATATGTGCTGTATTTCAAAGTTCAGCCGTTATACTGGTTCAAGGGAGATAACTTGTATATATGATTAGCCAAATTTTTCATTGATTTATTTCTACCTTACAGAACTAAAGCTGGAACGAAGCATCTTGATGGACCGTTGTCAGCATCTTCAAACTGACAACCAGGATCTCAACAGGACGGCCGAGAGTCTCAGCAAACGCATGGCGGTCAGTATCTTACACCTAGGCCATACTTTTGCCATCATTCTACACAGGGGTGTCGGGACCATTAGTTATTGATTTAAAAAGTTAGGACCCTAGCACAATGGTCCTTACATGTATTGGTCAGTGCTTGGATCATTGAAAAAATGTAGCTTATATACAAAGAAGAGATTGACAAATAAATAGCAGTTGAAGGTAATTCAAACAGTTTTAAGAAAAGAATTATTGAGCGAAATGGAGGCATAAAATACAACCTCGTTACCTTTACTTGGCTGTCGGGAAACTTTTCGTTGAGTTACTTGTATGTGGTTGTTTGGAAACTTTTCATTACCTGTGAAACCTTGTATGGGGATGGGAGAGTAATGAGATTTTGTTTGTGTAATACAGGAGTTGATAGAACAGAAGAGACTGGCAGCCAATGCCAGAAGCAAGCTACAGGAGTCTTTAGACAGTCTGAAGAAGTGTACACGGGACATTCGGTGATAGTTGGAGTCTAGATCTACAAATTACCCTCCAATTGTGATAGCGCAATATCTTAAAAGTGGACCATGTGCAAAATTACTTTTAAACAACCTATGAACAAAGACTAAAAAAAAAAATTATTGATGCATATATATATGAAATATATTATATATATTAATGAATTAGAATTAATCCTAACGGGATTAACTCTTGACAGCTGATTTTCTTTTACTTTTCTGACTTTTTATTTTATTTGTCGTGTACATGTGATTCTGGATCATCGTCTTCATTTTCATCGTAATTTATCAGGAGCCTAGATCAATGTCACTGCCTAGCAAAGAGGACATGGTTTCATTGTGTTTATCATCCTATTTAAAACCATTGCTATAGTATCGGGTACGTGTTGGAACCAAAGGTTTTATTTGTTTCAAGAATCATGGATTTATATCTACAGTATATTATTTTGCAAGAAAATGAACCATGAATTGTTTTTGTATCTCTTTATAATTTTAATTTCTACAAAAATGTGTTGATCATCGAGTTAGTACGATAACTAGATACATACACGGACTATCTGCATGTCTAAACTCGATTGTGTTTGTTTTACGAGTGATACTGTAATGCTGCAATTTTATTGCTGTATTTAAGATTTTAAGTCTTAAAATATTGAGACAAGGATAGCATTGTTAATATAACACTCTTTTAAAGGAGATTCCCTGTGCTGGTGTACAAACTTGATGATGGAATAGACAATGGGTGTTTCCATTAAAAACATTTCTTTGGAATTTCAATCTTTTTGTTTTTCTTTGTGTTGTACAGTTGAATACTGATGCAAGGCCACAGGTCTATAATTATGTAGCGTATTTGATGAAAATAGGATCTTACTTGAGTTTCCATTTCATATGAGATTTATGAAACGAGTCTAAAAATAATTTTTCAATTTAGGTGAGCTAAAATGAAAAATTTGTGACGAGTTTCATAAATTTCATATGAAATGAAAACAAGTGTAAGATTCTTTTTATCACATAATCAAGATTTGTGGCATTTATTCGTGTTAAACGACAATTTTCATGCAACCTTGAAATGTAAAAAAGCTGTCGTTTTGACTCCAGTGTTTCATGTACTTGCCTTAGGCCTGAAGTCACAATTGAAACTACAACCAATCACAGGGAAGATAGGTCATATTACATGGGTTAATACACACAAAAAAAAATGACGGGTATATTCACTGGATAACACAGTAAATAATGTGATACATTGCAGTAATAAATATCATGACTAGAGCCTTGATACATTAAATCAGAATAATAGCTAAATGTTTCACAGGTGACAAGATTCAGTGAAAGCAATGCAGTGCTATACAAGAGGCCTGTATCGCTCACCTGGATATCTAAGCAATCATGGTAAAATATTCTCCAAATGAGATCCAAAAGAAATGGACCAGACCCCAATCCTTGTAGCAAATCTTGAATCCCCACCACTTAAGGATGCTTACAGTCAAATTTAGTTAAATTCCAACCAGTGGTTAAGAAGATGTCTTCTGAAAAAATTGTTGACGAAAGAACGACAGACGAACGCCACGGTATGGCATAACTCACCTTAGTCCTTCGGACGCGGTGAGCTAATAATACAATAAACAGATGGAGGCTAGACATACATCAACTCTATTTCAGCAGCAAAATGGTCAACTCTGGCAAGCTTCAGGAACATTGGATGGATACCATATAAGGCTACTGTAACATCTTGTGTTTGTTTGTGAGAAGAATCATTCACAAACAATAGTACTATCTACATGGGCATAACATCCTCTCAGTCGTTAATCAAAACCTTCAAATATATAAAGCCCACTAAATATGCTAAAACGAACTGATTTAGAGTAGCTGTTAGGGCAAATTTTAAATGCGTCTAATGCACACAGGACAATAACTTCGTAATGGATTATTAGATTGTCTGATATATATACACATCTATTTAAAATGATGTTTAGAGCTGCTTAGTTCTGAAGAAAATGAATGGAAACTAAGGGATTAACTTTCTGGACTAGTTTGAAATACTGGCTTACTTAAGTATACAAAGTATTAAGGCAATAATGAAATCACCATGTCAACTATCAGCACATTCAAAGGGATGCACAACTATAAAGAGGGCAATATCTGAACAATTATATCAATATGTTCTATACACATGCAAACCTGCTAGGGGAAGTAACTCGGAATATGTCGGATACATGTGCACTACAAAAGGCAATAACTGTGAATAACTATCAATGTGTTCAATACACCACACAACATGAGATAGAGATAAGCCCGACAAAGTTTCAAGGAAATCAGTTTAGAAAGTGAAGGAAATATCGTCTATCCAAGGTAATGGACAGATGTACAACGCCAGCTCATAAAATATTATTAACCTCCCGTTACAAAAGCCATACCGGGTATTATATTTTCATATCCAAAAAACTTACTGCTTAAAATAGATCCTATTCAGCTTTTCTCACACAGCACATGTCTGGATAGTTTTAAGAACACTTCATAAATGTCTTGAGTGATGAACTTCTGTCAGACATCCATCATGAACCATTCATTTAAAAGACTCTTAATCCAGAATGTTATGGGGATTCTGTTAACCCTTTCACCACTGTAGACCATAATGGACTCATCCAGATCAATGCATGGTAAAGTTTATTCAAGTTACATAGGGGTGAAAGGGTTAAATTTATATAGAGAATGCCCAAAGGAAAGTGAATTCAATGTGTATTTCCCTATATATGGTTAATAAATACAAAGTCCTCCTGGGGACAGAATTTAATATCAAGGGAAATGAACTGGCGTAAAACTAATTTTGTACAGGTAAAGCCCATTTCACCATCTATATTACCTGGTGAGAAGCATCTCTGGACTGAGATTCATTTTTGCATTAATGAGAGTTTCATTAAAATCAGAAGAGAAAAAAAAATATCTATTTATAGTAACAGTGGCCTTGGAGGTCTGAATCTGTATGTAATCTTGTAATGAATACAAGAAGAAAGTTTTGTTTTAATCAGTTCAAATCAGAGGTTAAAGTGAAAGAAATTTTATAATTACTGTATTCATACATATATACAAAATGCATACTTCTTTAAAGTAGATTCATATATCGGTATATGTATTATTTTTCTGGTAATCAGTATTAATTAAATATAATCTTTTTCCTACTGATCTGCAATTAGACTTGAAAAGAACAAAATTTTACAGAAGTACTTGATACTGTTAAGATTTTATTAACATTGAGGTACAAAATTACAGAACATTGCTGTAAAACTTCTTCTATTTCTCCCAATATGGCCACAAACTCATTAACAAACCAATCTTATGTGACTGGACAATACATCATATAACAAGATGGAACTGATGATGCTAACAACATAGGTTATTATCAACGATCACATAAACAACATTTCACTTTAACATTTTAACATGTACTGTTTTTCCGAAACAACAAAACGCCAACAATTCCAATTGTTATCCTCAAAATTTGTGACCGGCACATTTTGATGGAACAAACACATTTTAGCTGGAGAGTATTTAACCCTTTCACCACTTTAGACCATAATGGACTCATCCAGATCAATGCAAGGAAGGGTCTACTAAAGTTGCATAGGGGTGAAAGGGTCAACTTGAGTATGATACGTATGACAAACTTTTTTCAATAAAATAGGTTGAAAAGGAATGCCCATAGCAAATTAGACTGATCAGGTTTAGTGACTGGTTGAACATTACAAGTAGTTTATTCCAGGTACTATAACTAGGGCCATATTGGTCTAGTGTAAAGTTATTAAATTACTGATCATACAGGAATACAGCAGGTGGAGTCCAATATGGCAAAAAGAATGGAATTCACAAATCTATTAAACCTACATAGAGCTACTTGGGCGAATTTATCATAGAGAAACAATTTTAATACAATTTATAAAAAAACTCTTTGGAGCTCATGTTCCTGTGCTATATCAACATTCTATTTGCAGAACATATCTATGTACCTACATTGTGTTTTTGTAGTACATGGTATATATCACACATTGATTTCAGAAATAAACATTCATTTTACATACTAATGAATTGAAGTTTCGACTCGGGTCTGGTAAATAATGTTTAATGATCTTGAGGCCTTGACTGTAAGTCTGAAGTTATGTGTCTTTTAACAGCATGTGAAATACACTTGTAATATACTGTAAGCGTATTTATATTAGCATACTCAAATTTAAGCACATTATCAAATTTTAACAGATAAGCGCATTGATGAATTGGCGCACACACAGAGTATATAATAGAAAACAATATACAGGAACTTCAGTTGGCGCAATCAAAATTTTAGTATAATATTTAAAGTGCAAAAAGTGCTAAAATATGAACATCACTAAAATTTGTACATTTACAAGTTCAGAAGTAGGCCACACCAAAATAGATCAATTCAAAAGCTAGATAACAGGCTGAACCGGAATAACAGCAAGAATACCACATTCTTATACTATACAGATACATGTACTATTACATGTACTATTTTTTCTAAGAAGATCACACTGTAAGTCAGACGCCAAAACAACCAGAAGTGTCTGGTAATAAGTTATTTAACACATGAGAACTGTTTTCACAACTAGCTTCTCCCTTTGTGCAGTACCTATCTTAAGCAATGCAGTCTGCACTCAAGAGTTAACAGGGGCCTGTTAATTGATGCAGATGAACCCATTCACCATTTTCAATTTAATTTTTCAGGGATTAAACCCAACAGACCTGCAAATGTTAAAGCAGGCCTTGACAATCTTTGCCAAGGCTCACCAAATAGCAACATCTAATTACTAGCATCAAATCACTTGGTCCATCCTATGGTTGAACCATTTTGAACATGTTAAACAATGGAGCCCTGAAGTACATTATTTCACAGCATGCAAAACTGACAATAGATTTGCTGTCAAAGTTTTCTTTCAAGTAGTAATAAGATCAAAGCACCTTCTCACACAGGTTAAAGTACATCATTATTCCTGAGAACATTATGGTATACAGCATTGCGATGAACACTGTAAACTCTCTGCTGCTTAACACTTATGTCAACACTGAACAGTGGACAGGTCATCTGACCTATTGACCTTTCTTCTTGGCCACTGAATCTTCATTGACTGTCATACTACTTCTGGAACAGTCCTCCTACTCCTGAGAGGCCTGACCTTGTCCACTCATGTTTGACCGCAGGGTGTGCATCTGGTCAAGAGCCTGGGTAAGGAATGGTCGTACAGTATTCAGCTCCATCAGGGTCAAGTGATTCAGCTGTAAACAAACAGCAAACCAATATTACAATAACTTTCAATATCAACACAAATTATAAATATCCATGTTACATCCCCAAACATTCAATATTTTCTTCATTATANTATTGACGCCGGACGGACGCCGCGCCATGGCATAAGCTCACTTGGCCCTTCAGGCCAGGTGAGCTAAACAAGAGGCCCATGGGCCTTAACGGTCCCCTGAGTTATGTAAAAACTGATGTTATCGATGTTGCCAAATGAAAAAGAAATCATTTTGTAACAAAGGTAACTTGAACTACATGCAATGCAAAAGTGGTGTGAAAGCTATGGGTTGTATATGTACTATGTACAAATAGTGGTTCTGTCAGCCAGCTGAATTATGGTAAAGCACCTTCAGACCCTTCCATCTATGAAGAGTATTTGATTCTACCATATCTGGGTCTTGAGAAGAAGAATTAGACCCTTTTTGACCCCACCCATCAGCCCCTGGGTGTCAGTCAGGGCTGATATGTGCATACCATCAAACTGCTACCCAATACTGATAATACTAACCAAGTTTGAATTAATTCCAATGGAAATTTAACAAATGCTGGTCCAAAATGTGATTTCCCTATATAAACTCTAGTAAAGTTAACCCCCTCCCCAGGGGGAAACGTGAGACCCCAGGGTCATGAAATTCACAATTTTTGAAGCACCGTATCTGGGTATTGAGAAAAGATTTTAGTCATTTTAGTCATTTTGACCCTTTTTGGCCCCGTCCCTCAGGCCCCTGGGGGCTTGGGACCATATAATTCACAATTTTGGTTGATCTTTGGCCATGGAAGGTTTTTGCAAAATTTCATTGAAATTGGTTCAGGGGTTTTGGAGAAGAAGTCGAAAATAGAAATTGTTTACGGACGCACGCCGGACAAAAAGCGATCGCAATAGGTCACTTGAGACTTTGTCTCTGGTGACCTAAAACTCTGTGAAATCATGAATCACATTAAATAGCAAAAATATAGTGAAAAAGGGCAAAAATTAAACTGCAGCAAACATTTTCCAGTATACATACATATTGAGTTCAAAAAGTTTTAAATCTTGATATAATGTATATCAATACAACAGTTAAAATTTGGACAGTTATAACTGGCAAATTAAGAACAAATTTCAATTTTTACCCCTTTCAGTCGACTATATAATATACAGATTTTGTAATTGTATACTGAACATCTTTACTCACCTTTGCATGAGTCGCCTCACTTTTTACAAAAGTGTCAATACTGCTCCGTAATTTGGCTATCCGCAAGTCCCAAATGTCTTTGACAAGTGTTCTGATTTCATCAGCGTGGGGAATATCATCCGTGGCACTAAGAACAGGAAAATATGAAGATAAAATATCAAGCTGTACGTATCTTGCTCAAAGCTATCAAGTTTAAGCATTCTCATTCTGACAAAGGGGCGGAATAAAACAGGCGAAAATTACCCAATTTGTCGGGTTTTTTCTCCTTTTATAAACATACTTTTATTTTGTCAATCAAATACCGGGTATGTCAACCAGATATATTTTAACGTTTCATTGCATGTCTAGAATTAATCATCTAATAATATTTTTTTTTTAGACATCATACTTTGATCAACATAAAAAAGCAAATACATGTATTGATAACGGTGTCCGTATTTCTGATATCAGCGAAAAAAACGCTGAATCTTAAAACTGACTTCTGGACAGGAAAACACTAAAACTTTGTATTGTCACTTGTTATTATTACGGAGTACTATATCTGTAAACAAATTATAATTATTAACAAAATACAAATACTTGGTTTGCAAAGATAAACAAATGAACTGTACTATTTGAGTAAAAGTTGTGTAATTTCCATGTAGTGTGGGGACGGCATGGCCGTGAAGAATTTGGAGTCTGTCTCCTCCTGTTTCTTCTCTTGTAATTGTTCTGAAACATAGACAACTATAATTATATGTGACCAGTACATGTAGACAACCAAACAAGAAGTGTTTGCTCTAGATTTGTTTATCATTTACCATGTAGTAAAGAACTTTTGTTAGTTTCCACATTAATATCTAATATCAATTTTCAATAAGCAGGCATTTTTTCTAAAACATTTCAAATATAACAATAGCATCATAACATTTATCCGCACTTCAATCTCACACACTTTCACAATTTTTGTTTGACATTGTTGCTTTTCAGAGCTCATGCATGACTTCATTTATGTTGTATCTTTCGTGATTTCTTGAAATATTTTTCAGGTTTATTAACCACCAAAGCAAAACAGAACTTGCTAGGATCAAGTTGAATATATATCTACACACATATGTTCAAGCACATGGCGATATCAATGTATTACTTCCATCAACTTACCTACATCCATCCAGGTAGGTGGCGTCAGTCTACATTTCTGTGACTGTTTGAGATTGACAGCCATCCACATTGGGACCTCAGCGGGTAACCCTGGGCTAAATGGACCAATATCTCCCTGTGGTAGAGAAGCAACAAACACAATACCAACTTTTGTATCAAACTGTCCAAAAAGTTAAATACAATGTATGGGGTTTTGAGGATTTTGTACTTGAAGGAGATGTTTTGGTACTTCCCTCAAATTGTTTTAGTACTTCGAAAATATATTTTAATTTTGGTACTTGGGTAAATATGTCATAAAACAAACCCCTTGAATTTTACTAAAATTTCTTCTTTCTTTTATGGAATGCTGTTTCTGTAGGTCAGGGGATCAGAGTGACTAATCAGCAAAAAGTGGCAGTCCATATATCTTCTAAACAAGAATAATATTTTCTGTTTTCGGTGCAGATCAGTACGGTTTGTTGATTAGTCACCCTAGGCCTCATGACCTACAAAAATGGTGTTCACTTAGGTGGGAAATTTTAAACGATTGAAAACCGAGGACTCTACTAACAAGAATTTAGCAGCTGTTGGTGATAATAAGAGCATATTTGGATCAATAAATAATCCATTTATTCGATAATCGATATGTCACTGTGAGGTATGTGTTGTGTCATAGTAGATTTTTGTTGTCAGCATCTCATAACTCTCTGATACAAAAGGGTGTCGGATAATTCCACATTTTCATGTAGCAGTGCGCTCTGGCCTCCATCCGAACGACCATGGTGGAGGTTAAAGTTAGGATTTGGGGAGTGCAGCGAGGTCCGTGTTATCACATCACCTCAATTTTGAGGATTATCCTTATTCGAAGGAGGGATTTCTAGTACAACTACATACTTACATAAACCTGTACATAAACACAGCTGTACATAGACGTCATGCATAAGTGAACAAACATAAAAGCAACGTTCAACAGAACTCTTGACAAGCCGAGGGCCTGTTCGTTTATGTGGAACAAACATTTTGTCTGTTTGTAAATGTAAAATTTCGGGTATTAATACTAGCGGACCTGTAAATGTTAAGGCTCGCCTGAAAGCAGCATCAGATTTCTAAGTGCGACCGTATTTCATAAGTGAACAACTCTGGTCCAACCGGTTCAGCTGTTTGGACCGCGATAAACAAAAACGGCCCAAATTTCCAACCCCTTAGGCCCCTTTCGCATATCCAGTTCAACCAGTTGAACCTGTAAAGAAAATGACAAGGACAGATCTGAACCGAGGCTGACTACAGGAATAATCAGATGTGTAGATTGAAGGGTCCAGACCCTTGTTATGTACAGTTACGTATTTTTTCTCGCTATTTTTATTCTTATCTCATATAAATCGTTGCTAGCCCCTGTGGTTGAACCGGTTGGACCACACTCCACTGTTGTTCGTTTAGAAAATAAGGTCGGACCTAGTAATCTGATGCAATGACAAAGCCTTACAAGGCTTGCATAAACATTTGCGTGTCCGCTAGTGTTAATTCCCTAAATTTTACATTTAAAAATAGACAAACCGTTTGTTCCACATAAAACAGGTCCCTGTTCAAACAAAACCCTGTGCTTATTCTGAAATTATAACGCGACCGTCTCCAAAACTTACACCAATGAGGTAAATTTTATCTTGAGCGAAATTAGGAACAACTGAAACAGTTTCCCTTTCCGCCAAGAACTCTACTTCAGCTGTGTCCATCTTCAGATCGTCATTTCACCATTTCCGAACAATAATTCGTCAGCATCAGTCGAACATTAAAATTTCGCGGGAAATATTTCAGTATTAAAATCGGTAAAACGTTTGAATCGCTTGACTTTTGAATGGATTAAATATAAGCGTATGGTTGATTCAGATGTTCAACAAATATGGCAGCTCGATTACTCGGGAGAGATGCCGGTATGCCTATCGTCCGCCAATTATTCGGGGCTACATCCACCAAACATGTCATTCAGGTGCTTATTACACATTGCCTTAAACCTCTTCTTTTTTGAAATTGTAAATGAAAATGTGATATATTGCATTTGCTTGTTATCTCTAAATGTCACTTTCGAGATCAAAATGTTGTCCAAGGGCAAGGGGAAAATATTCTCAAATGAACAATAACATCTGATTTAGGTTGAACTAAATCGACTGCTCGTTGGGTATCCTTTTTATTTTATTGTAGCATTTCCCCTTACAAACATTCACTCGCTGACAGTTTCAGGTCTGGATGTAAGAAAACTTCAAAAATGTGAAAATATATACATACAGACGGTAACGGGTTGTTTCGCCCCAAATCCCGTTCGCCCTAGGTTGTTTCGGCCTAAAATTTTTTATCTTTAAGTCATAAATATCATGTTAAAAAACTTTATCTTGAATCAACAAGATATAATTACGCGACGGAAGATGAAGGACGAACCTGTATATTCATCACTGAAGCCGACAACGGACAATACTAATATGTGGAAATACTGCATATTATCATTTCCATTTCATTACCTTAATTAAGTAATGTTGTTCTTTATAAAATGCACCTGTACATGTATTAATGTTAAAAATGTAAAATAGTAATACATATACAACTTCTAATATATAAACAATTAAAAAGCACTCTGTCTGCTTCTAACCCACGGAGTCGCACAAAATGCACAGATCATCCATAACGTAATGTTGAATGTTGAACACAGTATTGAGAAATGCCCTATTGATGACAAGTTACCTACTCAAAATTATCTACTCAAATATGCATATTCATATTTATAATTAATTGGTACTATCAAAACTTCTCAAAATGATCTCCAATTAGCAAAAAACAACACGAACGTGCACAGAAATCAAGTAAAGAAAACATTGTCACTTGGCGACGAGTATGTGTACACTAGACTAAATGTGTTAACATAGAAAAATAATATTGTTGTATAATCCCTGCAATGTAATTAAAATTACACCATTTCTGTTTCATTTCACTATTCTTATTTATATCTAAAATTAAATTCAATATAATTTATATTATAATCTGTGTCGGCGTGAAGAAAATAACGTATTCCTTTTTTTGCTTTACAATGTACTTAAAAACAACGCAAACACATTTTTTTTTAAATAAAACTGATTTTAATGATATGAAAGACTAAGTCAGAAGACTTAATTTGTGACTTAAAACAAATAAAAATGAAAAGAAAATACCAAACAATGTTTCGCCCTAAAAAAAATGTTTTAGGGCGAACGGGATTTGGGGCGAAACAACCCGGAACCCATACAGACCACAGGGGCATGGATCGCTTTACTTGTAATATTAAAAAAATAGTGGTCTCCTCTGCTATTTTTTAATATTTAATACAAGTAAAGCGATACAGACCAACAGTATAGTGAGGATCTAGTTGTTAAAATAGTTTCCGCGGTTGATTTTAATAATATGACATATGATGACAACATCATATACCCAAGGCTGGTTATTTAGCTCTAGACCCTTGGAGAATAATTATGATATGGCGACGATATCGGAAAATATTGCTTGATAACCGAGTAAATAGAACTGATAGGGTCTAATACTTTATTATTGTGGCCTACAGTATCCCTACATGGGCCCCAATGTGACAGCTAGTGGTAATTATTTTTTCAATGCTGGTCAAGGGGTCAAACACAGGACCCCTTGTTTATATATACTAGTGTGATGTTGTACCAAATGAGCTTAAAGAGAAGCTCTCCCTAGCCATGGCCAGGTCGATAGCATGTATTGAACTATAATATTATAGTTACAGATTGTAAATGTATTAAGGATTGAAATTCATCTTTTTGTTATTCATGATTGTATGCAACACAGTTCCATTTAAACATATTACATTATGTGTGATAGCGTTTGTTGAAGATCCCATTGTTTTTGTTAATTGAATAGCACTTTTTACTGCAGGCTGTTCGTTTTGGAAAGTTTAAAGTAAGTATCCATGGTCACCAGTTTAAACATGCCAGAACACTTTCAACCACATTACAAGTCCGTGGCACAGATGGAAAGCTTGGAGTCGAAAAGAAAAATGACACAAAACCACCTGTTACTACTGCAGAAAGCAAAAAGGCAGAAGTCACCCCAAAAGCAGATAAGAAAGATGACACACTTTCACCAATACCTTCTACTGACTTAGTACCTAAACAAGTGCCATTGAAAACTGTATTGGCTATAAGAGAGCGCGAAGCTGAAGAGGAGTACTCGACATACAGGTGAGTTGGTTATAAGTGCATAGCTACAATGTATATTAATTGAAACAATAATATCGTGGGTCCTTTTGAGTTTGCTGTACTGATTTACCGGTACTTCTTTTCTACATCCAGGAAGTTAACTTTTTAACTCTAAAATGTTCCTATAGCATGATGTTCCGTCCATCCCTCACTCTGTCTCATCTTCAGACCGAGAAAGTTATGACTTCCCAGTGGTTACAGAAACAGGGTCAAAAGTCAACTAACTATCTTGTTATGCTTATCTTGGTAATTAAATTCCCAACCATCACAGAAAGAGGCCATCATTCAAATCGCAGTGGAATGCTTGTTCAGGCAATATAATGACAAAGAAAAGGTTAACAGTTGCATCTCATTGTAATGTTTGTCTGGGAAATAACTTCTAAATTATGTAATATTTTCTTATCATTTTTCAAATATTAATTTCTTAACAGATCTGTAAGTCAGATGATCAAGGTCATAACAAAATTCAAATGTCATAAAATTATAATTGTGATGAACATCTAGTCAAGAACTTCTGAATCACTTCAAAATTCTTTCTGAAAAATCACAGGTATTTGAATCCTGACATTCCCCCAAGGTCAAGTTATCAGGTATGGCTAAAACCTGAAAGACTTTTCTGAACTAACTGAATCTTCCTAGATGTGTATAATATATGATGAAAAAAATGGTATGTAGCATACTTTTCTGAGTCAGAAGGTCAGGATAATAATAATGGGGCAAAGATAAATTCATCTGACACATAATTTGCTGTGATAATTTCATTCTTTTCAGAGAAAAGTATATTCCCATCACACGGACATCCATTGTACGTCACATTCTGCAGGAAAACATGCTAAATGATGAGGAAAAGAAGATTTTTGAGGATTTTGCCATGTGCCTCGACAAGTCAATCCGCAACAAATATCATGGTGTTCTACAACAGGCAAAGGTAAGGGATTTGTTAGAGGGTGGGGTGTGGAGGGGAAACTTGGGATTGATGTTTAGGTAAAGAATATGTCGATTGTGAAGGGAACTCTTGGACTGATGTTTATTTAAAGGATGGGTAAAATGTGGAAGGAACATGTGGTACTAACATTTAGTTTGAGGATGGGTCTTAAGTGGACAGGCATCTTTGGACTAATGTTTAATTAGAGGACTGGAAATGTGTAACAGATGCTCTTGGGACTAATATTTAGTTGGAGGGTAGCCGGGTCACTTGTGGGACTCTTGGGATAGATTGAGTGTAGATGGGAGACTTCAGGCTGACATTTAGAGGGTCTAGTGGAGGGAATCTCGGCACTGATCATATAAGAGAGTGTGGATTGAGTGTTGAGGTAAGACTTAGATCCGATGTTAAGTTAGAGGATTGGTTCAGTGTTTAAGGGACGTTTCAGGACTATCTTTTAGTTAGAGGGTGGGTCAAATATGGAGAGACCCTTAAGATTGAACTTGAAGTATAGTTACGATGTGAAAAGTCTAGTGTGGAAGGGGCTTTGGAACTGACAGTTGAAGTATGGCAAATTTAGATTGGACACTCAGGACTGTTTTTAGCATATTTTCTTATAAAAATATAAATGATTCAAGTCGGACCAGTTAAGGATCAAGTTGACCAAATTTTGTTCAAGCTCTACAAGCATTGTACAAGAAAGTTCTTATATTCAAATTCAAAAACTGTCAGAACTTGTAAGTGTAATGTTGAATAATTCTTGGGAAAATTCTAACAAACCATGACCAGAGGGTACTCAGAGATGGACTTCCAGCTGTGGAACTTGAAAATCGTGAAAAAGGGTGCTATTGTTAAAAGACTTGTAGTTGCAGAATCAGAAATGGTATATGTATAATCCTGTCATTTTCTGTCCTGCAGGAGATGTTTGACCCCCTGAACCCTGACAAGGACACTATCCAGACACGCAAATGGACCAAAAATGAACGTGTAGATAATGAATTCTGGTTGATGCAGCGACTGGAAAAAATCATGGAGAAGGCTAATTTCCACGAGCTGCCAAAGTCTGTCCTTGCTAAGGCCATGGAGGAACATGAAGTGGGAGTTGGAGTCAGGGTAAGTCAACAGACTCCTAAGGACTGTATTCACTAAGGCATTAGACATACATTATGTGAGACTTCATATAAGGTCCCCCCCCCCCCACACTCACAATTCTTTTTTTCCTGTTGCCCACTATTCAAATGTGTACAAGTATTTCAGACCCCTCTCTACCTATGTGTTATCAACAGTAAGTGCCCCCATGTTACCAGGAGTAGCCTTAAGGCAATAAAGGAACATCACGTAAATCTTGTTGTGAGGGTTAGTGTACAAGCGCCGAAAGACTATAATCCTCACTAAAGCAATAAAGGAACATGATATGGATTTTGTTGCCAGGGTGAGCTTGCAAGCTCCTTACGACTTCCTCTCAAAAGCTATATAGGAACAATGATTTGGATGTAGTACAAGCTCCCAAAATAATCCTCACTAAATCAGTAAAACAAATTTTATGTAGGACTTGTTGCCAGGCTACCTGTGTGAGTTCCTGAGGTCTTTCTTCAGTAAGGTTTATAGTCCGTCATCATGTATAAACTGATTTCTGTGATACTCTATCCTCGATATTCAGGGGTTAAGTTCACTTTCCCTCGCTGCACCCCTGGAATATGTCATAGCAAAATTAAAGGCACACTGCTACCTATTTGATTGGTGTCGGGTAAAAAAAAAATCACTAGGCTGATACCTGTCCTTTGAAGATTATAGTGGAGCGACGCCCGGCCGTCTTCAAAGCTAGTAAGTTTTAGCGTTATGCGACCGCAAGATTCTTTTGATCAAAGGATCAAACTAGTCTTCCCGTGTCATCCACAAGGGTGGTTCACCCTAAGCCTTTAATTTTGCTATGACATATCGAGAATGGTGATACTCAGGGTATCAATACAACAATATATGACGGAGTACGTGTGTAACTGCCTGTGGTTTGAGACACAGACAAGCGGGGTTTTGCTCCTGTAATAATTTTGCCTTTGGATGTATTTGGCCTGTAATGTGTTTACACACTTATAAAACATGGGTGATGGGCTGCAAGGATAAGTTCATAAATGAAGCTGAAATTTTTAACTTGTTGTAAGTGTAACCTGTCCTGTTTGCAGCATTGTTGTTTTTATTTTCCCACTAGGTAAGCCATGACTCCTCCAAGTTTGATGTGCTTCGTATCTGGGCACTTGGAAAGACATTACCCAAGGAGAAACCACCTTTATATCTACAAGCTTGGTACTACATGTTTCCAAGTCAGATTCCAGGACCCTTGGAGAGCTTATACTACAAACGTATAGCCCTCGCCATGAGGCTGAGAAAGGATCAGAAACTTGTACTCAAAGGCTTCAAAGATGTACCCAAAAATTCTATAGAAATGCTGATGCCTGATGTTAAAATACGAATGACAAAGTACGATAAATTATGGCTGGGTAGTTCAGTCACCATGTTTGCCATAAGTCTGCTGATGAAGGCCTCGCCCTTCTTGTCAGGCGCGCAAAACTGGACACTAGGATTGGCCGGTATGACGTTAGCTGTAAGTGGGACATTGTATTTCAGGTATCAGAACCGAAAAAATGCCTACCTGGCTGAACTCTTCGAGATGTTGTACAGTAATAACATAGCAAACAACCGCGGCCTCCTCACGCTAGTGGTTGACCGGGCTGAAGACGAAAGCTTCAAGGAGGCTCTGCTTACATATACTTTTCTCCTGGCCAACCGTCCAGATGCAGTGAAAAATAAGTCCATGGCCAACATGGCTCCAGAGGAACTAGGTAAGAAATACAGTTCATGTACTTTATATATACACCCACCATACTATAGTAAAGGAAACCTGTGTAAACCAACACCCCATGGGACACAACATATTGGTCAATCTAGACATGTATTTCGGAATACACAGGTTTTATTTGATAGATTTCGTAAGAAATTGTAGTAATCATTATGTTGGATCAGATTAGACAGTTTTTACTTTATTATTTTGTCCAAATATCTGACAGTCAAAAACTGAATTTCTACTCCTTAAATTCTCTTTTTGTGGCCTTATCTTCACCAAACTTAAGAAGGTTTGGCACTTGGTAAAAGGGGGTCATTTCCATTTCTTGGAAATCGATTAAATACTGAAAGTATTTGTAACTAAACGAAAGTTCACATAGTTGATAATGACATGACCTGAAGCCAATGTCCAATGTGGTCCTTTGGGAAAGCCAGTGATGAATCCAGCTACGACCGAAATAGCGCAATACCCAGTCATTTCAGTGAAAAGTAAACATGCACAGTACCACACTGTCACCCAACAACACAGTGTCAGTGAATGTCACTTTGAATTAACATGATCGCAAGTAAGAATTATAAATGTCATAATACATAAATCTAATGAGTTATTTCTGTTCACAGTTGGATTTGAATAAAAAGGAACAGGTTTAATAAGAGTATGCACACAAAAGGTTACAGTAGGGAGATCTCTTGTCTAGTTCTGTCAGTTCAAATAGGAAATATAAACAAATGTGACCTTATCTTCAGGACACTTTATGCAGCAAATAATCCACAGTTGCCTGTATATTTTATACTATTAATAGTTCTTCTGGTATTGTATGTACATGTACAAATGTGGTTGCTTTCTTGACTGTTCCAGGAGGACTGACCCAGGCCGAGCTGAAGAGCAAGTTGGAGAAATGGATCTCGAGTAAAACCGAAGTGAATGCTGAATTTGATCCACTGGAAGCCTTGTCACTGCTGAGTAATTACGGGATAGTCCAACAGAAGGGAAATAAACTCCATGTTGTTTCCTTGGCAGCGGCCATCCGCAGCATGCCACAACGCCCCGAAACTCTACTGATGCGGGAATTGGAGGCAGACCGCGTGGAAGACCATGACGACGAGAAATTTACGTGATGTTTTTTAATGGTAAAAGGTTATTTATATATAGGAATAACAAATTTAACGTTTTAAGAAGGTCATCAATTGTCCTTCGACTCAAACAACCTATGTGATATTTGAAACCACTTTCACAGTGAGAGGTTTCTGTGTAGATTGTGGAACATTTGGCAATAAGTGAAGAATAGTTAATTTGGTTCCAATGACAGCAAGAAAATAGTGTTTTAAATCATCAGAGACATCAGTTGCTGAGGATATCAAAGATATTAAAACGTTGTCTTCTATTCCTGTGTGAAATCAAAACAAGCGCTGGCATTGGACCCAACTTTTGACACCAGTCACTGTGTGTGTCTGTCTGTATGACCTCAAACTTTTATAAACTTCTTCCATATACAATTCCTGCTGGAAAATATGTTTAATCAATCATAGTTTGAAAAATGAATTGTTAAGAATTGGGAAGTGCTGTTATGTACCTGTTTGTAAATTGTAAATTCAATTAAGGATATATATATGTCCTAACGATAAGGACTGTTTCCTTTTGGACTTATTAAGGTTCAGTCGCGTTTTAAATAAATCATGTATATTTGAAACAACCAGTGAGGGATGTTGTGCAGTTGTGCCACGTCTGTGTTTTAAGTGACGTTATTAGGTTGATAAACTGTGTGCTTGTCTGCTGAGGATGTTAATTTGCATTACACAAGAATTTTGACTGGTCTTTGAATTCTTTTTCTGACCATATTATACTTTAAGTGTGAAACTGTATCGTTATATATCACTGCTGATCATTGGAAAACATAAAAGATAAGTTTTATTGTGGCTTAACCAGTCATAGCATCTTAAATCATTCTTAGCTCATAACTTCGGGCATTTTATGTACTGAAGCTTTCCCTATGGAGAAAAATTATCCTAAGGTAATATTTAAAGTTATTAGTTCTGTGAAAACGAAACCTGGCCTTCATAAGCTACTTGTGAATACTAAATAAATGTAAGTTGGTAGAATTTCACATATATAGAATCCTATGAGTCAAGAGTATTATTGTTTCCAACCCTGCCATTGCATTTTTCCAAATCATTTACATTTTTAATAGCACCAAAACGAAACTTCAGGGGCAAAACTTTTTTTTTTAAAGCACTTGCCAAGAGCAAGAAGACTTCAGAAAATAATATTTCTAATGTAAATGTTGCATTTGCCAGGACCAGCAAATCTAAATTTTGTACTTTTGGTTGTCCTGGGCATCAGCTAGTGGGTTTTACACACCTGTACATACCCTGGAAAGGTGGTTTTGGGTCTCATTTGTACATGTATTTGGTATGAAGACACTTGTCCCTGAAATGGACTAGATAAAACTTGGTTCAGTGACACAGTTCACACTGGAATTATTTCTGAAATATTGACCCCCCCCCCCCCCCAAATATTTGTGTGAAGAAATTGTGTGTTGTGGAAGATTAGTAGAGAACTCCTTTCTCTGTCAAGCTATCCCTAAACTTTCTAGTTTGTACATCTTTAAACAGTGACAAGTAGGGGAGCTAACTCTGACAAATACAATTGGTAGTACCAGATATAACAGGAGCCGCAATATAATATAGATGTTGGGCATTTTATGCTTTGACTCATGAATGCCTTGTGGTAAACTGCTCGAGTTTTCAATGACATAGCCTAGCTTGTGGTGAAATATACATTGGTACTTATGAGTAGTTGTATGATTTTATACAGCATTTCTTATATTTTATCTCAACTCTTGGAATCAATGATGAGCTGAATAGAGTTGACAGATTTAATAAAATTAAGAAATTTTGCATATGCCTTTTTTGTCTTTATACAGATGATAGGCTGTTTACATGGCTTGTTGTCCACGATCCATCCAACTCCTGTCCATCCTTAAACAATTAATGTTATTGCTCATGAAAATATTGACTGATGTTTCCCAAATTTCATATGATGGTTCTGTTTGTGCATATTTGGTTGGGAGACCGATCAGAAAAACAAGATGGCTGCCATATGTCACCATCTTGAATTTTGACAGTTTAAGTTTGTTATTACTATTTCTCATATTGTACTTGACAAATCTTTCTCAATTCAATTTTAATATGTATTAGTTCTCTTTGGTACGCAGTTGTGCATGTTTGATTTTGAGACTTTTTAGAAGAACATGTTGGCCACCAGGCAGCTCTCTGGGTTTTTGGCAGCATTAGATTTTTAACACTACATTGTATTTCTAAAGGAACAGGGAGCCATCTCGTGATTTGACAGCTAAAGTTAATTAAATATCAGGAATGACTCGAAATTTCACTTTGGTCCTTAGTAAGTGCAAGTTAAGTTTTTGGGCCAATCACATAAAAATAAGATGGCTTCCAATTGATTATCCTGGCTTTGAAGTTAAAGTTTAAAGTTAACTGTTGCTATTTATCAGAAAATAAAATACATATTTCTTAAATTCCATATATATTTCCTGTTCTCTAGTTTTGATTATTTTATATTTTGAGCTTCAAACTACTTGAAAATATGGCTGCTAGAAATACAAAATTGATATCTCTGCTAATCTTTATTTTAACTANCCCCCCCCCCCCCCCCCCCCCCCCCCTTCACATGGAAAGGTCATTGTTATACACAGCATGGAGTTTCCATCAAAAGTTACTACAATATGGTTTAACTGTTGAAAGGACTATCAATCTAACAAAGAAAAGAAAAGATCAAACATTTCGTGGAACTAACAGAAAACTTACAATGGTGGGCACCAAAAACCCTCTGGGATCTCTTGTTTTACATATAATGCATGTCATTACTATAAATTGCTTTGTCAAATTAATTAATTATTTGCATGCTTTGGTCTCTTTAAAACTAGGGTTATCTCCCTGTACACATGTTGGAGGTGGTCAGATCTAGGTACAACAATAATTACATTACTGCAGTTAATATGATAAAGGTTCATTATTGTTATTTGCCGTTTCTAAAATGAAGGTTTAGATGTGTATGTTTCATTGATAAGGAGCTATTTTTTATAATTGCTGATGCTAAAAAAGGTGGTACGTTCTTGTCAAACCGCTTGTGTATAAACTGCATCCATAAGTCATACAACTGATTTCCCTAGATGTCACCCTCCACAAACACCAGACTATTTACAGCATGCCTATATAAACAGGTACACAAACCAGCCACAGGAACCGACAGATACACATCATAACATTTCAAACTTTTGATGAATCTAAACATTCAGGGTTGATAGAGTATCTTATCCAACATCTACATCAAACAGTCGATCATTTTGTCTGCTTATCTGTTTCCTATCCTTGTCAGATGTAGTCATGGTCAATATCAAATACTGTTTGTTCATTTTTGTATTAAATTTTATTTCCTGGAGGAATTCTGTGCTTTTTAATCAAACTTCAGCTAAACATACCTACTCCAAGGGGAATTTTAACAACCATCATTTTCTGAAAGCCTCCGACTTTCTGAGCAATATGACAGTTATTGGAAAATTGTTGGTTGGGAACTTAAGAAAATATTGGTGTTTAATTATGTCGTGATATCATAATCATCTCTCTCTAAAAATCATTAGTACTCCTAAAATATGAGTGTACAGGTAATTTTTTTGTAATATCTTTTAAAACCAATATCTTTTACAAATCATATAGTTTTTATAAACAATTTTGTCTTGAGCAATTCTAACTGGTATCTTGAGAAGGTTGAATATTGTGTACTGAAGTGTGGTATTCTTTCCTCTATGTACAGAGTTACAGCCATTTGTGTATTCGGAGGATAACTCCTTGCCATTTCCCCTATGTTTACCAAACTTGTTAAGGCTATGTATCCTGGGGAAAAGGGGTGTGATATACTGAATCTGGGATTTGTGCCCCACTCTATACAGAGTTATAGCCCTTGGATGATTGTTTACACCAAAGTTTGTTGAGAGCGTAACTTCCTTGCCATTTCACCTACATTAACCAAACTTGTTAAACCTATGTATCTTAGGAAGGTGGGGCATGATGTACAGAATCTGGGATTTGTGCCCCACTCTATACAGAGTTATAGCCCTTTGTTGATTTTTTACACCAAAGTTTGTCGAGAGCGTAACTTCCTTGCCATTTCACCTACATTAACCAAACTTGTTAAGCCTATGTACAGAATCTGGGATTTGTGCCCCACTCTATACAGAGTTATAGCCCTTGGATGATTGTTTACACCAAAGTTTGTTGAGAGAGTAACTTCCTTGCCATTTCACCTACATTAACCAAACTTGTTAAGCCTATGTACAGAATCTGGGATTTGTGCCCCACTCTATATAGAGTTATAGCCCTTGGATGATTGTTTACACCAAAGTTTGTCAAGAACGTAACTTCCTTGCCATTTTACCTACATTAACCAAACTTGTTAAGCCTATGTACAGAATCTGGGATTTGTGCCCCACTCTATTAAGAGTTATAGCCCTTGGATGATTGTTTACACCAAAGTTTGTCGAGAGTGTAATTTCCTTGCCATTTCACCTACATTAACCAAACTTGTTAAGCCTATTTATCTTAGGAAGGTGGGGTATGATGTACAGAATCTGGGATTTGTGCCCCACTCTATTAAGAGTTGCAGCCCTTGGATGATTGTTTACACTAAAGTTTGTCGAGAGCGTAACTTCCTTGCCATTTCACCTACATTAAGCAAACTGGCTATACCTATGTGTCTTTGGAAGGCAGATTTACGCAGACTACCATCTGGTCTGGTGTCCCACTATAAACAGAGGTACATGCACACAGTGTCGCACCCTTTTCCCATTCTTATTGTCCGTCACTTATTGCAGAGCGTTTTTGCAGAGCGTTTCCCTCGTCTGTTTTTGTGTGTAGGTCAGTATGGAAAAAACTGCTGAAGCTTGAGTCCATCAACTTCACAGACTAATGTTCCTATATGATTACATCATGTTGTACCATATTCCGTCTTTGCGTATTGCAGAGTTGTCTTCTCTTGTGAGCAGGTATTGATTGTTACGTCATTAGTTTGTGTGAGAAAATTACGTTGTTTTCTCAAATATTGATGACGTTACTCTCACAAACCAATGACGTAGCAATCAATACCTGCTCACAAGAGAAGATAACTGCAATACGCAAAGACGGAGTATTTGTGACCTTGACATCTGGGGGGTGGGGCTTATTACCAGGCATGGGCTTATCATTGGTAAGCTATGGTACTTGTGACTTACTGTCTGATCCTTAGCACACATAAGATCTTTTCCAAACTTACTAATTAGCTCACAAATTTTTACAGGTCTGTTTCATAACAAGTGATGGCTGAGGCAGAGAGGCAAGACTGTCACCTAGGAAAAGATGGATGTTGAAAGTTTATCTTGTCTCGAATAGAAAAATAAAATCAGGTACTGTCTGTTGGTATATGATTGAATTAGTTTTTTGTTATATTTATGGATTGAGATTTTGTTACTGTTCTTTATTATATACTTTAAGATCAGCAGGCCATTTATGGATTTACAGGGTAAAATGTTCAGCATTGTGGCGTTAAAGGGGCATTCATAACAATAATAATTTTCTTCATGTCTTATTTCCACTTCATTTCATTTAAAACCAACTGCAGTGCACATAAAGAGGATTTGTTTAAAATTTAAATAATACTTATGTATCCTAACAACAAGACAGGAATAGAAGAAAACCTAATTTACAGCCATGTTTGTATGCTCCGTCGTGTCACTTTCCGGTACTTAATTGATAGCAGATCTCCAAGCCTTTAATCTGATTCATCATTCTGTCAAAAAACATACAATTATGTGAAAATGTTTTCATAATTTACGTTGGAAGAGCTGAAGTATTGATTTTAACAGAGAAGAACAATCTGTTTGAATGATCAAGTGTCAGGTTGTTAGGGAAAGAAAACCAGTGTTTTCTGCAATTTTAAGAAATACAACAATAGATAACATTTATATAAACTTCCTAATGTAGCATTATTATCATCTGCACAGCAAAGTAGGATTGGAAGTTTAATTGTTACAAAAATGATGTACATCCTTATATGCATTTGGTTTTGTCATTTGTTGGTATCTTAAGCTGCTGCATGAATTATACTTTCATTATTGTTGGTATCTTAAGCTGCTGCATGAATTATACAGTCATTATTGTTGGTATCTTAAGCTACTACATGAATTATACTTTCATTATTGTTGGTATCTTAAGCTGCTGCATGAATTATACTTTCATTAATGTTGGTATCTTAAGCTGCTACATGAATTATACTTTCATTATTGTTGGTATCTTAAGCTACTACATGAATTGTACTTTCATTATTGTTGGTATCTTAAGCTGCTGCATGAATTATACTTTCATTATTGTTGGTATCTTAAGCTGCTGCATGAATTATACATTCATTATTGTTGGTATCTTAAGCTACTACATGAATTATACTTTCATTATTGTTGGTATCTTCAGCTGCTGCATGAATTATACTTTCATTAATGTTGGTATCTTAAGCTGCTACATGAATTATACTTTCATTATTGTTGCTGCTCTTGAATGTATGTTGCTGATGCTGAATTGTACCTTCATTTTATGCTTCAGTGATTCAGTTAAGAATAGATTTTCTCGCACCTCAGACAGAGATATCCTATGTCATACCCTATGCTAGATTTTTCTATCTCGTCTGATCTGTCTCCTTTACGTGACATTTCGCGGAATTTTTACACTGCTATGTATTCATCCGCACGTTAACTGCTTGAAATTGACAACTTGCATTATAAATGTCCTGTTTTGTTGTTATAAGTATAGTTTTATGTTGTTAGATATTTGATTTTGTAGAAAAAATATAATCTACA